AGAGTTAAAGGGTTAATGGCATCCGGACCGAGACATCCGACTGGTTGGCGGGGTGTCACTCAGCCTCATCCATCAAGGCTGGGGCGGAGTCAGGGGCTGTCGTTTCCTCATCTCTAAAACCTCAGTCACCCTTTCTCCCAGGCCCCCTTCTCGAGGAGTGGTCCCCGTGCCTCCAAGATGCGCTGTCTGCAAGCCGGTAGTGTTGCGCGCAGGACCGTGACGGCGTGTGGCAACCCCCCTCCCCAGCCTGGCGGGATGTGAGCGCACGTGGCCCCTTCCGAGGGTTGTCTGTGTTTTCGATGTCGCCTGCCAGTGTGTGCGCGCACGTGGTGGCTGCTCCCGCTGCTGCTGTCGGGGGTGTGAGGATGCGCGCGCAGGAGTGCAGCCCGTCGGGAGGGCGGAGCGCCCCACGGGGTCTGTTCCGGTGGCCCCGGGCTGCACATACCTTCCCACGCGCTCGGGCGCTGTGTTGTGATTGTGATGGGAGGATGCTGGTGCGAATTGTCCACGGGATTTCTCCTCTGTTGTCTGTGACTCCCGAGGGTGTGTGCTGGTGCGTGTTGGTGTGGTCGGCCTCTCAAGTTGTGTCTGTGTCGGGGGTGTGTCCTTTTGGACATTATTTTAGTGTGCATGTGTGTGGGCATGCGTGTCCCCACCTCACCATCCAAATGCTACATGTCTCGACTCCTGCAGCAAGATTTGTCACAGCTGTGTACCATTAGTCCTTGAAAATACCCGTTAGACGCCTCGGAGACGAGAGGTCAGAGGACAATCTGCGGGAGTCAAGTCTCTCCTTCCTCCTTGCGGGCCCCGGAATCGAACTCAGTCGAGCTTGGAAGTAAATGCCTTTACCCCTGAGCCATCTCGCCGGCCCGATCGCCGCCCCCTCTTTTGATTATTAAAAACTTTAAAGCTCTTCTGCGGAAAGTAAACTGAGTCAGATGAGGGGGTTAGCTGGGACAGGAGAGCCTTGGAGGGTGCACCCCACCTCTGTCGTTTTTAGGCGAGTAAACAAACGGAGTCTCTTCCCCTTGTCCCCCGCCCTCAGAACCCCCCTTCCGGCACCTAAATCCGGAGTCGCCGTGACTCACGCTCCCGCCTCCCTCAGCGCCGTGCCGAGCGAACCAGCAAAGAGTGAGCGGGGATTCAAGCGCATCCCCATCCCTCCTCCCAGCTCTGGCTGAGCCCTGATAGCTGGGGGTGGGGGGGGCTGTTCTTGTGCTCCCCCGTGCCCCTCTCCCAGGCTGGACCCTTGCTCGGACGCTGCAGTGTTCCCAGCTCCAAGCCCTCGCCCCTTTACATCCCCTCTCCAGATCGCCTAGGGGGACAAGTCTGGCATTCTTGCCACCCCGCCTCGTTCTCATTAACATAAAAGCAACAAACCTTTCCCAGTCTCCAACTTCTTTAACCACTTTTCTCTAGCTTGAGGGGACTCCAAGCGTGGGCTAAGGAACGAAAGAACGCGGAAAAAGAACTGGTCCCCCACCAACAGCCCCAGGTGTTCCCCGAAGCCAGAACTGTAACTGTCCCCGCCCACCACTTTTCTCAGGAAACCTTCCCCCCAGGCATCTTAAACAGGATTTGCAAGTGTTGAGGGTGTCCAGATGTACCAAAGTCTTTGGGGATGGGACTGAGAGGTGTGGCCCTGGCCCCAACTCTAGATGAGGGTCAGGGGTATGCAAGAGCTGCAGGTGGAAGCCTGGAAGCTGGTGGGCCAGGGCTATTATTATTTGACGTCTCAAGCCCTGCGGTGAATCAAGCTGGACTTGAACAAATACAGGCTGGAGGGTGGGAGGGGTTTTTTTTCCTTTCATCTGGAGAAAGTATCATCCTTAAGCAGAGACCCTCCAAAGGAGTGGGGGTTTGGGGGTAGGTGAGACTGCCATTACAAAGATGGGAGACCAGGGGAGTGAAGTCTGGGCAGGGGTGGGCTGACAGAGCCAGCTCAGCTGTTTGGCTCTCTAGCTGAGCTCCCAGCCAAGAAGTGGGCGCAGGGGCTAGGTTGCCCTGGGAAGACCCAGATGAGAAGTAACTAGAAAGCACAGCTAGAGGACTGGTCACATGGCTCAGCAGGCAAAGGTGCTCACTGTCAACCAAGCCTAACGACTTGAGTCAGGTCCTCAGGACCCACCCACATGGTGAAAGGAGAGAACTGACCCTCAAAGGTGTCCTCTGAACAAGACACACGTACACACAACCAACCAATCAATCAATGCCATAAAAACTGTTAAAGAAACTGTTAAAAAGGTAGGGCTTAGACTTTTCATACCCCCACCCCCACCCCATCCCAGTGAAAAACACAAGCCCTGGACCTACTCCAAGATGCCACCATCCTGGCTAAAGCCGAGAGATTTAGACCGCTGCCAGCAGGAAACGGAAGCAACTGCACCACACACTGGTTAAAAGCCAGCCCCTCAGCTCTGCGAATTTAGGGGGCGTCCTGAAGGCTCTGGAGATGTGCAAACCCTTTTCCTCTATGAAGGCCCCTGCTGACTCAGGTGGCTTAGGAAAAAAAAAGGCTCGCTGAGGCTGCCAGGGCGCCTCCTAGGAGAGCTGTCCCAGCCAGAATCCGCGACGGTTACAAAACGCTCGGGAAGGGCTCCTGGTTGGCTTAGTTCTTCCATGCTCGCTTCCCACTTTGATCCCCTCCAGCCTACCTGTTGGCCTGCGCTCTGGAGGTAAATATTGGAGGCCGGATTACCAGCGTGGCGCGCCTTGGCATCGGAGGGACCCCAGGATCGGAGGGCTCAGGCTGAGCCCAGCCCTGACCAGGAGATGGTGGCGAGGGCGGCGCAGGTCCACCCCTAGCATGTTGGCACAGCAGGACTCTGTGGGCTCCCTGGGCCCTGTGGGGGGACATGGATGTAATTGGGTGTGTCTTGCGAGTCTAAATGCTGCCCCCAGAAACACAACTATTTAGCTACCCCAGGGAGCAGCTAATGGGCACATACATGCCTCTTATTTCTGAACCTCCCATGAAGGGTGCCCTCCCACACTTAGGATCGAAAGAGCCTCTTTAAGCCATATAATTTGGAGTGTGGGGGGAATTTATGAAGCCTAGGCTGGCCTCCTATGCTGGCCACATGCTGGCATTACAGGTCTGTGCCACCGTGCCCCTATTTTATCATCCTTTTCCACCCTAGTTCTTTCTTTCCTTCTTTAGAGTTTCGCTGTGTAGCACAGGCTGGCCTTGAAATCACCACCTGCCTCTCCTCCCAAGTGCTGAAATTAAAGGCCTACGTCTCTGCATGTAGTCTCACCCTCTCTAAGTGATCCGCTTGTGTTTCCTAAGGGGTTTCCCCCTCCTGCCTTAGTTTTCCTTACATCTGAGACCCACAAGACCTCACTCTGGACGACCTTCCTTCACCAGCTGGCCAAACTGTCTCCCTACCTGAGACGCCACAAGGCTCCCTGTGGGCTGAGAATTCGTCAATCTGAAAGTGTGTGTGTGTGTGTGTGTGTGTGTGTGTGTGTGTGTGTGTGTGTGTGAATGCAATCAAAGGGGTAAACTGAGGCATAAGTAACCCCCCCTCGGGTAACAGCTACGGTGGCTTGAGGGCTGTTTCCACGATCACTGACTTTTGCTCAAGCCCAGGTCCCGCCCCCGCCCGAGGCCCTGGTGGGGATCACTGACTCGACCCTGCTGCTCCTTTCCATCCAGTTTCCCTGAGCTCCTCCCGTGAGCCCGGGTCAAGGGTCACCTGCCTGCGTAGTAGACGAGAGGCGCCTTCCCATAGAACCCGCGGGTTCTGGGTCTGGAACCGTCCCAGCCCCTTCGCTTATCCCTCATCTCTCCCAAGGGGGTGTGTGACGTCGGTGGACGTCAGCAAGCAGCTGACTCAAAGCTTGCGGGAGATGACGCCCCCCCCCGTTACCGTGACGACAGGTGACGCACGCGCGCTCGGGAGGGTGTAGGTGCGGCGGTCGGCCGCTGGGGGCGCGGTGGTCCTCGTGCCGGCTCTTCGCAGCCCCACGCTGGGACTTCCCCACCCGGGAATCCCACGACGGAGCCGGCCATGTGCTGAGCGTGGTCCGAGCCGGGGGCCGGAGGAAGCGCTCCTGCGAGCTGTTGGGCTTTCTGCTACACCCAAAACCCCCAAAATAGCTGCGGTGTGCGGGGGCCGGCGCAGAGAGAGACGGCGGCGGTGGCTTCTGGGCACAGATGGGGGACGCACAAGGCAGAGGCGCGGAGACAGACAGGGACTGGTGGAAATAGAAACAGACAGACAGGGACACAGGCGCAGCTTGCGGTGATGGGGGAGGGAGAAGCTGGCTCACTTCACCTTCACACCCTGACATTGAAATGAGGGTTGTGTGGCCATGGATCTCTGACTTAACCTCTCTAAGCCTTTCTTCTTTCCAGGCTAGCCTCAGACTTCCTCCCTATGACCTTGAATGTCTCATCCCTCTTCCTCCACTTCTGTGCCGGGACTACAGGCTTGCAACAACAAGCCCATTTAAGGGATCCAGTTTAGGGCTACACAGTATTGCTATGTAAACGCACGATCAACTGAGCCATATCCAGAATTCTTTTTAGACAAGGTCTCATATTGACCAGGCTGGCCTCGAACTCAGAGATCTACTTGCCTCGGCCTCCTGATTTCTGGGATTAAAGGCATGTGCCAGGTAGGTTTCTGCTTCGTATAAGGCACCCTCCACCCAGTGCTCCTCACCCTTCAGGGCTCCCAAAGCAAAATTACAAGCCCACCTGGACTTGAATTCAGATCCCTAGAACCCTAGTAGAATCGTGGTGGGCTGGGGTGCACCTGTAACTCTCCATGCTCAAATGGGAGGTGAACAATAGGGATCGTGGGGCTCAATGACCAGCCAGTCTAGAGAAATGGCCTTCACGTTCAGTGAGAGACCTTGTCTAAAAACATATGTCCGGTGTTGTGGTGCAAGCCTTTCTTTAATCCTAGCGCTCAGAGATAGATGCAGGTGGGTCTCATCTGTGAATCCGAGAACAGCCTGGGCTACATAGTGAGACCCTGTCTCTAACATAAAAATAAGGTAGGAAGCAATAGAGGGACATATCTGTTGTTGACCTCTGACTGCCATATGCACCCCACATGTGAGTGCACCCACACACACAGGTGCAAACACATGAACACCAAAATGAAAAATGGAATCTCAGAACCAGATTTAGTGGGACACATTTTTAATTCTACCACTTGGGAGGCAGAGGCAGGCTGATTGATTTCGGTGAGTCTGAGGCCAGCCTGGTCTACATGGTGAGTTCCAAGCCAATGAGTACTAATACTGAGACCCTGACTCAAGAAAAATAAAAAATAAAATAGAACATCAGCTTCAGGAGGGCAAGAATATTTTTTCTTTTTTCTTTTTTTTCCCCAGACAGGGTTCCACATAGCCCAGGCTGGCTTCAAACTTGCTATGAAGCCCAGGCTGAATTTGAATTTCAGATCTTCCTGTTTCCAAGTTTGCTTGTTCCCAAGACAGGGGTTTCTCTGTGTAGCCTTAGCCTTGGCTGTCCTAAAACTAGTTCTCAGAGACCTGCCTGCCTCTGCCTCCTGAGTGGTGGGTGTGTGCCACCACGGCCCAGTGTACCTCTGGTTTTTATGTGCTTGATTACAGCTGCCATACCCACTTATACCCAGTTATTTCTGTGTGCTGGGACTCATGTAGATAATTTCCAATTGGAAATGATTAAAATGGGTTGTGTGTGTAATGCTAAGGATTAAAGCCAGGGTCTCCTGCATGCCAGGCAAGCATGTTACTACTAAGGTATGAGATCCTCCATGCTTTTGTGTGTGTGGGTGATGTGGTGTGAGAAAGAGAGGACTCTTGATATGTAGCCCAGGATAGCCTCAAACTCAAAGTCTTCCTGCCTCTGCCTGCCAAGTGCTGAGATTATAGATGTGAGCTAACAAGCTCAAATCTTCCTACTTTTTGAGATTTCAT